GACTACTACTTGCCACAATTGCCTTGACAGCGTCGGATGCGGGTCTGATAGTGGGGTGACAATTATGCTTACTGTCGTCAGATTTGTTGCTGCGCCAGGCCCTTCCCTCGTGACTGATTCTCTTGTTCAGGAAACTTCTCAATACACCGTATGGGAACGCCAAATCGTTGCGCTTATTTATGGACTGGGGGCCTGAGAACCATGGCTCCTGCAGCTCGCGGATCATGCGGTTGTCACCTCTTGCGAGGATTTAGACATCGTCAAACTTGAAAATATGGCCGGGTCTCGTCGAGTGTTCCGGTGATTGCATCCTCTTCTTCTGAAATGCTTCCTGGAACTCGTATATTCTTCACTATTGGCGAACCAACAACTGTTGAGCACGTATAGATTCGTGGAGTTAGTTAAGCTCGGGACTCGAAAATAAAAGGTTCGCATTCTGTCTCATGCTGAAAATATCTTAGTCTGAGAAAAAGACAACTCGATCGCTGGGACAATACTTTTATCCGCTTGACGTTTCGACATTCGTCGCGGATTCATCATCAGAGACATTAGCATAAGACGGTAGCAGAAACGATTTTTATGCTAATGTTTCTGATGATGTATCCACGACGGATGTCGAAACGTCAGGCGGATAAATGTATTGTCCCAGCGATCGAGTTTTCTTCTTCCCAATTACTTCCTGGGACTCGTATGTTCGCTTGTATTGGTACTTTCTCAGGTGATTGTCATCAGATTTAATAGCTTGAATTGGTATCATTCTGATGCTGGGCTCGGACCGTTTTTTATGGCAGATTTTCCACAGGGCTTGGCGACCAATAAGCTCGTAGCCAGCAGCATTAAACTGCCACTTACGAGTCACGGAGTAAGTCGTTGGCATGAAAGGTATTTTTTTAGCTAAAGATAATTCCCACGTTTTTATTCTGCAGAAAAGTTGGCACTTGGGTGTGTTGAAATTGATATATGTCGTGCGTGCGTGAGCGAGCGAGCGAGTGACCTTCACTAGTGCATGCTAACTGCCAGACACAATATGGGCTGATTAAGACTTTGCACTTGAGAATTGGGTCTAGAGACCCGCAGGTGGGAACACTTATCACTAATGGATAACGGAAAACAGACAAAAACTGACGGTTCCAGTGCCTTGTGGTAGATTATTTAAATAGTACACATATCTTAACTGTGGTAAGAGGCCCCTCACCGATCGCGTTAGGGACGCCCTCGGCCCGTTGTGCTTCCAGAATCAGTCTGAATTCCAGCCACACAGAAGGAGGCTACTGAGAGTGCAACGAGCCCGTGACCCAGTGGTATGCCTAAGGGGTTGCAAAAGCTGGGCTTGGGTATTGCTGGCTGATGACGGCTAACAAGCCTTCTGTTTATCGATAGTTTCCATCTGTTTATTTGTCTATCTCGGAAGAACTGTGTACTCGTCGGTTACATAAAGTTCAAAAATAAATGGAAGTCTTCCCTTACTTTGTCTGGAGCTCCGGAGAGAGCAGCATAAAACACCTGCACCCTACGATCGCAGTTGGCAGAACCTGAGTCCAGGCATTCAGTTGGATAGTGTTTTCCAAAAATGTTTGATAAAGTCCTGCATCCAGGTTCAACCCTTGATTGAGGTGGGTTAAACTGCTGAGTACATCTAGGCCAGAAACCACTTGCAGAAGCGCAGGCTGCCTACGCCAGAAAAGAGCCCAGTCCAGCCCAGCTACTTTTTCCCTCAGCCAAATTGGAGGGTTTCGCACACGTATCAAAAATCTTTAGTCCATGGCTACATTTGACGTAACCAGAGTACCCATCCGTCCACTTATTGCACCGGATTTGAACACCCCTTGAATCTAGGATTTTGTACCTTTTGTGGCAGTTCCTGCTGATGATCCTGGCGAAGGGTAATTAGAAAACGAGCGTCGATGCGGGGGGCCCTATTTTTGACAGTCAGGACCACAGCCTGCTCTGAAGGGTGAATGGGTGGTTCGGACGTTCCCAGGCCAGATTTCGCGCTGCGCCCTCGTAAACGCCTGTGAAACGTATCATCCATGACGTCCGTGGAGGCAATTAGAATGCGATGAATTACCTATTACATGATGTAGCTCTTTTTGTTGGTTTCGGTGTTTGCTGTCGGCCGTGATTAATGTTCTGCCCTATCACTCTGTTCAGCCCGAATGCCACTCGACATATTATCCCTCTCTTGGGGCCCCAATCTGATTGGACCAATCTGTAAGCTCTGCTCGCCATAAGTACGCTGTATTAGGTATGCTTAAAGACTTCTACTTCTGTGCCACTATCTTTGTGTTCTTCCCTGGCGGTAATTAGACGTAATTAGACGGTGACATCTCGGCTTTGGATAACATAATAACATACTTAAGGCCCATCGCCGATCGCATTAGGGAAGTCGCCGGTCCGTTGTGCTTTGAAGCCCAAATTGAATCCTCATAGGCAGTGAAACAGTAACTAGTCATATATACTGAGGCTACTGAGAGGACGACGAGTCCGTGGCCCAGTGGGTACAGTTTTGTGCTCATGCCTAACGGGTAGCAAAACCTGGGCCTGGGTCATGCTGGCTGATGACAGCTACTAAGCCAGAAATGATCATACAAAACGCTGTTATCTTCGTCGATAGTTTCCTTCTGCTCCATTGTCTATCTCGGCTAAACTGCTTACTTGTCGTTTACTTCAAGTTCAAAAATAAAAGAAAGTCATGCCGTATTTTGTCTGAAATTCCGGAGAGAGTGGTATATAACACCTTCACCTTACGATCTTCCGATCACTATTGGCCGAATCCGAGCTGAGAGGTTCAGTTGGATATTTTTTAACACCAATGTTTGAGGAAAGCCTGCATCTGCGTTCAAACCTCGATTGAGGCAGGTTAGACTGGTGACCACAACTGGGTCGAAAACAGCTTCTCCCAGTGTTCCTGTCATTTTAACAACACTTTTGAGGAAATATGTTTGTTTTTACTGTTTCTTCAGTTGATGCGAATGCAGTCAACTGTTTGACAAGGAGGGCAGTCGGTGGCATACTGGTCAACGTGTTGGTCGCGAAACTCTTAACTTTCTGCTTTTTTGCATCGGTTGCCAGTTTCTGCATCGATGTCACCGTTACGGAAATTCAAGTAATCGGTCCTGAGAGAAACTTTTACAAATACCCACCCTTAAAAGACGCCTGCTGCGCATTGGTTAATCAAACAGTCACTGAGACCATGATGGTATTTTCTCTGGAGGTGTTTGTCTCCTTGAACCACGAGCCATTATCCACCGTCCACCTTGAGAGTTTGACAAAGTATTTATTTTTCAGTCAGCTTGAACTTTGAGAACCGCCGGTTTTGCAGTTGAACCGTCAAGCCGTCAGGTATAGCAGTGAAAAATAGTCAGGTGAACAAATGAGCAGTCTAATGCATCTACGCGGTTGAAAACAGGGTGGGTAGAATGCTTATCTGTCGAAAAGCATTGAACCGAAATATATTGGGACGATACGAGTATTTCCAGTATTTTGCTCGACATCCTGCATCCCAATTATCAAGTAATCGATTTCGATGGTTGTTCTGTTACACCTCAATCGAAGGAAATTTTTTACGCAAGTATGGTCACCAATCGGGGTTAACAGAGATTTGCTCGTTCTTATCTCCATCAGTATCCAGCGCAGTGCAGGTCACACGGTTTAGTAGTCCATTTGCTAATTGCATCTTTTGATGGGGTTTCCTATCTCTTGCTCAGTAAGCTGCAATTAGCGTTGGCTTGATCCTTTTTGTCTTTAATGACTATCCTAGTCTCCAGACCATAGAGGTGGCTCACTTTGCAACGAAAACGACGTCAGAGACTGCTTCGGGACCATAGGTAATAAAGAGCTTAGAGCCGTCGGAAGGTACCTGCGGAGGTAAACAATCAAGGGGGTTATCAAACTGTTCCATCAGGTGAAGATTAACCATCCCAAAGCAGTACCCCTAACTAAGACAGGTTTGCAAAGGTGAGAGTTCCAGGGTAATAAAGCGACGTTACTCACCCGAACAGTGAGCTTGAGTTTGGCTGGTTCTCAGAGCATTTAAAGTCAAAAGTGGATCAGAAGTTTTATTGACTAGCTAAACTGGTCGGCCTGGGACTAATTGACTTTTCTTATGACGGAATTTTCGGGCGAGCTCGACGGTCGCTGGTGTTACGCAGCGGCGCCTGCACGGAGGGTGCTCGTAAGTCTGTCCTTCTCCCCCCTCCTCCTTGGGTGAGTTCGTCACGGGGCCCCGCTCGCTTAGATTTCACCTACAGTGGAACCTCGGTTAACAAGTTTAATTCGTTTGGGCACCGCGCTCGTTGTTAGGGGCAGGCCTAACGACCTGGTATCACGCTGTCCTGATTACTCGTCCTACGGTACAAGCCACTAGCCGCGATTAATGTTCTGCCCTCTCTCGAGGCCACAATCTGATTGGTCCACACTGTACGCTCTGCTCGCCATAAGTACGCTGTATTAGGTGTACGAAAAGACTTCTACTTTTGCGCACTCCTTGTAATTAGACGGCGATATCTCGGCTTTTGACAACAGTAC